TTGAGTGCTTATAATTAAGTAGGTATTTAAGTACTTTTTCAGAGGTTATTTTGATGATTATAAGTGCTATAAGTCCTGAACCCTGTTGTAAGCATTAATTATTAGGAGATTCTGGGTATCCACTACGTCAGTGGTCTTCAATACCACTATTAAATCCAAGTATAGTACCTACAGTTGAAATACATTACAATACATACCAAATACTTATATGTATAAGTGTATAACTGTACAAGAAGCTTAATACTGTTTCAGTCCTATTGTCCGACACATGGCACACTACTTACTATTATTATTATTATTATTTATTATAATACGAAATTACTATTAATTAAATAGATAATTAAATTGAATACATTGTAACACACACATTTTAAAATTAAAATAAATAAAATTTAACATTTCTGGCCTATACCTTTAAGATATACATTAATGAAAATCAATTTCCAGTGTTTGTATGGAAACCAAAACGTTTTAATAATATGTCCATAACGTAGAAATATTGTACATATTAATTAATACACATACCTATACTTACTTTACATTCTAAGTCTTATTCGACTCAATGTCACCTAATGTACAACTATCTAATAGATACAATTCTAATAGTTTTTATTCTGAATTTGATCTCAAGAAAAAAATTGGCGAAGGCTCGTTTTCTGAAGTATGGTTATGTGTGCAACGAAGCAACGGTCGAGAATATGCAGCAAAAATCTTGAAAAAAAATTATGGATGTACAGTGGACGCTGATACATGGGACGCTGTATCCGAAGTTAATGTATCAAACTCGTTGGGAAAACATCCGTTCTTACTTATGCTAAAAAGCGCATACCATGAAAAAGAAAACGGAAAAATTATTTTAATATCAGAACTGATGAAAAAATCATTATACGATATTATAGAAAACGATGAATGTCCACTATCAGAATATAGAATTAAGACTTATATGTATCAAATGTTGGAAGGTATAATTGCTGTAACAATCTATAATAATAATAATTATTCATTAGAACGTTTTGTAAAGGCTTAAGGTATTTGCACCAGAATGGCTTTATCCATAGGGATATCAAGCCAGAAAATATTTTGCTGAGATCGCAGGACAAGATATTAAAGATTGGCGACTTTGGAACCACGTGTCATGCCATTAATGAGCTTCAGTACTTAGAATACGTGGCAACTAGATGGTACCGTTCACCAGAATGTTTGTTAACACGAGGTTGTTATAATTCAAAGATGGATATTTGGGCTGCGGGATGTGTACTTTATGAAATAGCTACCGGCATTCCGTTGTTTGATGGTCGAGACGAAAGTGACCAAATTGAAAAGATTGACCAGGTATTAGGCTCTCCAGACCAAAGATTAACTAAAAAATTTAAAAAACATAAATCTGATGTGTTCATTGAACGATACGAAATGAATAAACGAAATGAAAGAATCGCTGGAGTTGGACTGCATTTAGTGTATCAGCCATACCGCCCAGCATATGAATTAATCAAAGATATGATTGTATATGATCCATCCAAGAGATATTCAGCGAATCGATTATTACGAAAGCCATACTTCCATGATATTAAGAATACTGAGTATGAATTTAAAATGAAAGAGTTTGAAAAATTGCTAAGTAATAAACCAAAAGTTAACTTATCCAAAATAGATCAAAAAGTAAGTTATAAACAGACAGACATGTGTTTAATAGTACCTACCTATGTAGATGAGTAAAAATATTTATGTACTTACCCATTTTCTTTTATTAGTAAGTAGGTACCTACCTAGGTAGGTAGTTACCTACTTTTTAAATATTATGTTTATTATCATATATTTAAATTGTATTTTAAAATTAATCTTTTTATTCGTATTTATACTTAATTTTTTATTTTCTGGTACCTAATAAATTTTATTTTATAATGGTATTTCGTGTATCGTGATTTGAAATACCCACCTATCAATTAAACGTAAAAAAAATGATCGTGGTACCAAACTATAATGCCGAATTAAAAATATATACCTATAATCTCAATTTCCATAGAAAATCTTTATAATCTTTAGTTGTATAGGTTTATAACTTAAATTGTATCATTGTAGGTGCCTACTGATAATGATAACCACCTCGCCTCATTTTACAAATATCGGTAAAACATTAACTACCTAGTTCTCATGTAAACTGTAAACAATTACTTATTTAAAATAATATAATGTTAATGTTATTTATTTAATATTATGTTTCTTAAACTTCTACAATTTAGACAAACACAAAAATACCCAGGCAGTATTCGATAATTAAAAAGGAAGGTCCTGGTGGAGATCGTATACACAATTTAGAAACGCATTCGGTAAATGCTGAAACATTTGATAGATTATCTGCAGACATAAGTAATAAAACTGATCAACTTAAATTGGATAAAAATAAGTCGAAATTGCATAAAATATTAAGTTCAAAGACCAATAAAAAAAAATCTATAATCATCACAGAACCTGAAAATATCTGCCATGGAATTCAAAAGCAAAATACACGTTATATATGTTCAAAGGACAATACAAAAGATAATTCTCTGTCAAAAAAAATGTTAATGGAATCAGTATCGACTTTAAGCAAAGGCTCAGAAGCAAAAAATGTTGGAAATAGATTTGTCAGCCGTCCACCGTTCAAATGATAAAATTACACGATTTTTTCAAAACAAAATTTCTTGAACTCAATTTTAATAACACTTTAGCTGTTGTAAGTTTTGTTTAAAAAAGAATTGTTATACACGACATATTTGTTGAGTACCAGTTTCCGTTAAATATGAAACTTAATATGGAACGTGATTTTATGCCTAGTCAAGCAGGGAGCAAATTAAATTGAAATAAATATTTTGTAGGGTGTAAGAATCAAAAAAATATGTAATTACGAAAATAAGTATTGAAAACCCATGGTTTTTATCATCCAATCTGTTTTTCATTCAATAATATATATTTATTTGTACAGTTTGGACCAGGCGTGCCCAACCCACAGCCCAGATCCAGCCCGCTGAATATTCCAACCTGCCCGTTAAAATGTTATAAAATTAAAAACTTGTATACCTAGGTAGTAAATAAAAATAAAAATTATAATTTAAAAAAAAAAAAATGTTATTTTAATAAGCTTTTAAGAATTATAAAATTTCTATTGAACGTCAAGTTCAAACAAATATTTGTACAGTTTAGACAGATGTAAGTTATATCATGTCTTAAATTAAGTATTCATTAAATGTTTACATAATGCAATCGGGTTAAAAATAATTGGTTTTATTGGCTCTATAGCAAAATACAATTGAATAATTAAGGAATAATGTTTAATATGTTGAGTGTTGAAAAGTCTTAACATACATTTTTAGAGTATACAAAAACTACAAGTATTGAAAAATGATGATGAAAATACAAAAAAAATTTAAATTATTTATATACCTAATATAATAATAATATTATTATTTATAACATAAAAAAAAAATATATATCATAAAAAAATTTCATTCCAAAGCCCAACCAAAAAGAAAGCTTGTATGCAGTTGGGTCTAGTATGTAGCCATATAAATTATAGTAATAACTAAAATAAAAGAGTTAAATAGTAGGTACCTTGCCGTTTTGCAAAAAAATAAAAATTAAATTAAAAATTTCTCTAGAATACTTATAATACATACTTATACTTATATAATTATAATTTTTTTTTAAATTTAAAAAATATTAAATATGTTTTAATATATATAATATATTCCCTATATGAAGTTATCAATTATTTTCTTATTTTAATTATATAATGAAGAAATGCCACAGTAAATCATACTTTTGAAACAAAAAGGAACATTAACATTTCATTTTTGAGGAGTGTCTAAACACAGAACTGAACTGTGGCTCTTCAGCACATGCGCCAGTATTAAATCATATTATATTGAAATCTCTTATTAGTTATTTCTAATATTAGTGTCAATGTAAGTGGTTCATGGTTAATATTATAACAAACAAAAATGTACTAATAGAAATTTTAAAACGTTTTTACTTTTAAAAATGAACAGTTATTTGGTATTCAGACATATAAATTAAAATGGAATATTATTTTTTAATAATACATATAATAGTGATATTTCATCAAATAAAATGTACAAAAATGTGTTTATTAATAACGCAATACATAAAAAAGAATTAACAGTTTTTTAGTATTTCGATATCAGTGTTGGGTAAAATCATTTTGAAAAGTAATAGGTAAAATTACATTACTTGTTACACTGATTCATTTTATTTGTACTACACTTACATTACCCGACATTAGTTTTATCACATTACACTATTTTTTTCATTCAAAAAATTGATTCATGCAATATTTGACTAACAAAATAACAATATCCATTATAAGTCAATAATAAATAATATGGAAAATTAGTGTACAAGAATAAGTTTAATCTAAGCTGTTAAGAGCAAAAACTCAATATTGTTACAAATTTTGTTTTCAGTCGATTAAGTCCTAAGAAGACAAAATTATGAAACCCATTTTTGTTTTCTATTGATATTTGTAAGCATTTTAAAATTGGAAAGAACATTCAAGTTTTTTAATGAATAGTTTGCTGATTCAAAAATACCTCAAGGAGATCATAAATACTTCTCTAAATGCACTATACTTTCAATATCCATATTTTAATATAAAAAAAAGCAAAAAAGCAAAATCATCCATTGTGTACCAGGTATCTATGGGCAAAAATCAAATTATTATAATTCTAAGTCACTAAATTAGTATTTATATTTTATGAAATACTTAGTCTTTGATAAATTATTAAATCTTAACTAATTATTACAAGCATAATTTTCATAATTATTTAATAATTGTTTATATCTTTTCATATTTTACATAATATTATATTTAACAGTTACACATAATAAAGGATAAAAATAATTTACTGAACCAAAAAATGTCAGTAAGTATCTATTTCAAATATCAAAAAGTAACAATTACAATATTGTATTAAAATGTTTAATTATCAATTTCATAATATTATTTATTTCCTGAAGGAAGACAAAGAGTTATCATTAGCAGCTGTAAAAAAACGAGAATGCTCTTCATTCATTTCAGATACCATTGAACTTAAATTGTCTGCATTGCGTTCTATGTACTGTAATGCTGTCATATGACAGTTCAATATACGACAAATAGTATTCAGCTGAAACCAAAGTTAAATCAATCATAGTACAATTATGTATTAAATTTAATTGTTTTATTTATACTAATATAATGTTGACAATACTTACATCATCATTAGAATCTTTTTTCGAGTTGGCTCTGTTTAAACTGTTGACTATTTCTTTTATATCCCCTGACAGTAGTTTTACTTGGTTATCAATTTCTTGAGCAGTTTTATATCTATGTAATATATGATTTGGTTAAAAATAACTAAAAAATAATTTTAAATAACATACATTGGTTCTCTTTCATTGTATTGGTTCAAGCTACTTAATACTTCAGCAGATTGTAATTCTTGTTCTATTGGAATTAAACAATCTTCAAGTTCCTTTTGTTGGGATAACAAGAAGTCAAGTTCATTTTCAATATCCACTTGTTCTTTTTCTTTTTGCTCCAGAATATCATACAGTTTTACCAACTACAAATTAATTTATATGATTAATTAATATTTTTAATTAAATAAAATATTAATTACTTTAGTAGATTGATTTGCTAATATATTATCCCAAACGGTTATTTCATTTGCTTGATTAATAAATTGTTTTTCTTGATTTTCTAAATTGACAGTCCAGTTATTAATTAAATCAATAAGCTGTTGAAAATTTGTATGTTGAACTGCACTGGATTGACTATCTAATCTATCATAAAAATGTATCATGTTATTATTATTATAATTTAAATATATTTATTTTTATACTTACTGAGATGGTAATCTAGTAGATGGATACTCAGGTGGAGCTTTTGTAGTAATTGCTGAAGTAGTTTGTATTGTAGTAGCTTGGTCTGTAGTTTTTCCAGAAGAGCTCAATGAAAGTCCAGAAGTGCTTGTTGTGCCTGATAGGAAACCAGTAGGAACTGCTGAAGGCGTACCCAAAGATAAACCTGTTGATACTTTAGTTGTGGAAAATGAGAACCCAGTAGATACTTGTTTGGTGCCCATTGAGAAAACAGTAGATGCTTGAGTGGTACCAGCTAATGATAAACTGGTAGACATTGCTGGAGTTGTACCCGAAGAGAAAGTAAAAGTAGAAGCAGTAGATGCTTGAGTGGTACCAGCTAATGATAAACTGGTAGACATTGCTGGAGTTGTACCCGAAGAGAAAGTAAAAGTAGAAGCAGTAGATGCTTGAGTGGTACCGGCTAATGATAAACTGGTAGACATTGCTGGAGTTGTACCCGAAGAGAAAGTAAAAGTAGAAGCAGTAGATGCTTGAGCTGTACCTAATGATAATCCAGTGGATGCTGAAGTTGTTCCCAATGAAAAGCCAGTAGAGGATTGGTTTGTAACACCCAACAACAAGCCAGTTGATGCTTGTGTGGTTTTACCAAATGAGAACCCAGTAGATACTTGAGTGGTACCAGCTAATGATAAACTGGTAGACCTTGCTGGAGTTGTACCCAAAGAGCAAGTAAAAACAGTAGATGCTTGAGTTGTAACCAACGATAAACCAGTAGATGCCTGTGTGGTGCTACCTATTGAAAAACCAGTGGATGCTTGGGTGGTACTAGCTAATGAGAAACCAGTAGAAACAGTTGGAGTTGCACCCAAAGAGAAAGCAGTTGATGTTTGATATCTGCCCAATGAGAAAGAATTAGATGCTTGAGTTGTACCTAATAAGAATCCAGTAGATACTGAAGTTGTTCCTGATGCAAAGCTAGTAGAGGGTTGGTTTGTAATACCCAACGTGGAGCCAGGTGATGCTTGTGTGGTTTTACTGAATGAAAAACTAGTAGATGCTTGTGTGGTTTTACCTAATGAAAAACCAGTAGATGTTTGGATGTTACTAGCTAATGAGAAACCAGAAGATGCAGTTGGAGTTGTACCCGAAGAAAAAACAGTTGATGTTTGATATCTGCCCAATGAGAAAGAATTAGATGCTTGAGTTGTACCTAATAAGAATCCACTAGATACTGAAGTTGTTCCTGATGCAAAGCTAGTAGAGGGTTGGTTTGTAATACCCAACGTGGAGCCAGGTGATGCTTGTGTGGTTTTACCAAATGAAAAACTAGTAGATGTTTGGATGTTACTAGCTAATGAGAAACCAGAAGATGCAGTTGGAGTTGTACCCGAAGAAAAAACAGTTGATGTTTGATATCTGCCCAATGAGAAAGCATTAGATGCTTGAGTTGTACCTAAAGAGAATCCAGTAGATGCTGAAGTTGTTACTGATGAAAAGCCAGTAAATGGTTGGCTTGTAACACCCAACGTGGAGCCAGGTGATGCTTGTGTGGTTTTAGCAAATGAAAAACTAGTAGATGCTTGTGTGGTTTTACCTAATGAAAAACCAGTAGACGTTTGGTTGTTACTAGCTAATGAGAAACCAGAAGATGCAGTTGGAGTTGTACCCGAAGAAAAAACAGTTGATGTTTGATATCTGCCCAATGAGAAAGAATTAGATGCTTGAGTTGTACCTAAAGAGAATCCAGTAGATGCTGAAGTTGTTCCTGATGAAAAGCCAGTAAATGGTTGGCTTGTAACACCCAACGTGGAGCCAGGTGATGCTTGTGTGGTACCACCAAATGAAAATCCAATGGAAGTTGGTTGGGTATTACCCCCTAAGGCGAAACCAGCCGAAGGTTGAATTGAACTCCCTAAATAATTAAATGATTAATTTATGCTCAGTGAAAAATCTATAGAAGCTTGAAAAGTAGGAATTGCTGTTAGCCAAAACCTGTGATGCTCAAGTTTCAGTTTTATCTGACGAGATACAAAAATATTTTTAATTATTTATTTTATATGGCTTGGTTAACAAATCCACTTTAATAACATAACATTATAATGTACACATAATAAAGCAGCAACAGCTATAACAATTTTAGTACCAACTAATTATACTCTACCAGCAATGCTTGTTTCTCAACTATAAATTATTTATCTCGTGTTTTGAACAAAATATTCGCCTTAGAAGAGTTTACAGTGATATCATCAAGGCAACACTCAATTTTTTATTTTACTTATGAATTTGTTAAAATTTTAATTTTTAAGTATACCTACTTAAAATATTTAATTATTTAATTTTTTATAGAATTTAAGCCTTAGAAAGACTATAGTGGTGATGGAAACTTATTTTTCTTATATGAGAAACAACATTTTTTATTGCAAATAATTATTTAAACAGATGACCTTTTTGAAAATTTTGATTGATCCAAGACAACATTAGAATGAGTAATTTCTGAGTTATTGATATGTATATTCTAAAGATAATAATCAATAAAATATGTTAGATATAATATTGGATCTTGTATTTATTATAGGTACTCAGACATTTTTACAAATTATAAAAATATTTTGATAGATTAATATTAATTACTTGAATTTTCAAATCATCATAAGTCTATCGATAAACAATATTACTTCTAAACTTATTATCATAAATCTATTATTTTTAGTAGAAAAAGTAAAAAAAAAAATCAAAAATCAAATACTACTTGTTAGACATTATGATTTAGATACCTACATCAAAATTAAAAAAATTTAATTTATTTAACTATTTACATGAAAAAAAGGATGATTCTCATCTGAAAAAATGAAATTAGTAATCATCACAGGAAATAGTATAAAAAAAAAACTAATAACCTAATTTAATATAATATTATATTATATATATTATATTATTACTTATTACTTATTATATATTATACTTAAAAATCTTAAAAATCAGAACTTAAATGTACTTATGGCACACCTGTAATCTAACAACCAATTCTAACCTGATACTCGTGAACTGTAATATTTGTGATATACCATGTAAGTAGACAATTTTGGCCCGATATCTAAATTTATTATTTATTAATTATAACTTATCAGTTATTAATCATCTACATACAGTAAAACCTTACTAAACCAGAACCGCTTGGGACCATCCTATTTTTCTGTCTATTAGAGTTTCCATCTTGACGGGGTTGATATTCATTATCTATTTGAATCAGAACCAGAGAAATGTTAAGTGTTTTACAGTGGAATCCGTCTAATAGAATTTTACTGTACTATGTTAGCAATGTTTATACTAAATAAAATATATTAATCAATTGAAGATGATTAGAGGGCAATAGTACAATACTTGGCTATTTATCGAGAAAAAAAAAATAGTTAATAATATCGAATTTGTAATGTTTGTTTAAACAAACATTTAAAGTTGTTAAATTGAAAATCACCTAAGTATTATGTATTTTTAATTCAAATTATGGCAGTCAGATTAAAAATGAATGCAAATTTGAATTATATACAAATTTACTTTAAGAAACATCTTTTTTCAATTGTATCATCGATCAATTGCCATCGAAGAATAGGATATTTGCCACCTGGTGGTAGGATGTTTCAAAATATCACTTGATGTAAATGTATTAAAAATATATTTTTAATACACAATCAACATTACAGTAAAACATAAATAAATCAAATAAGTATCTATCTACTTTTTAAAAACCATATATTATGTATTTGGCGTTGCATTGTTACTATTCATCATGCTGTAAACCGTTTTAATACATGATACATGAAAATTTAATACAAGATGTTTTTTCATCTTATTTTCACTTGATTGTACATAAATAAAGTTCTGTTGCTACTTTTATTAAATTAGGCTAATGATTGTATTCAGTACATTTTTTTTAATAGCCGTCATAGGTATTAATGTAGACAATTTGCACCCATTTTTATTTTTGTACGCAACACGTTTAACTTTTACCATTTTCACTGGTTTTGAAATAAATAAATAAATTTCTAAAATGCAGTTTTCTTATTTCTTTTATCACCTAAAATTTTAAAATTAAACCATTTTGTCCTACTTATTGAAAAAATCAAATTACAGACACACGTAAATCACTGAAAAAGTTTACTTTTTCCTTAGCTTTATAAGAATGTAAACATTGGTAAACATAAATAAAAAACGTACAAAGTAGGATATTATAAGAATTAATTAATATTGTAAATCATGTTATTTTACATTTTAAGGTTTTGAAAGAAGGTTCTGTAACAAAGGATGCATTTCCACTCATATTAAGTATTTACATCAACTCAAAACACGAGGAACACCTGAGCAATTCTTTCCAAATAGTTTCTGACTAACAAGTTACTTTCATTTTGTTACATTAAACTAACATAGTCAGGGGTTCATTACAACATACATTATAATAAAATTATGAAATAACTAATAATACACAATATTAGTGTCTATAGTGAACACATTTGACAGGAGTTATGTGTTTTATTATATGCTTCAATGCTTGTCATATTTATGAGTACCAATTGTCCGCCATTGATAAAAATTAAAAACTTTAAGGTGGAAATTGTCTTAGAATTCCGTCAAATTATGCACAATTATCTGGAGAGGAGTTAACATGAACATAAATTACATTGTACGTAAAAACTACCTAAATTGTAAAGTTGCAACCTACGAAGTTCGTGTTACAAACTTCATGTACCACCACTGAATCTAATTAATAATCAACTAACAACTTACACGAAGTATTGGTAGGTGTAGTCATCGTTAACATTGAAGTCTGGTTTGTGGTTTTGGGTGTCAAAACATTGAAATTCGACATGTTGGACACGATACTTAATAGTTTTTTTTATTAATACAATTTAAAATAATTATATTATATTAAGTTTATACTAAGGTAATTACAGTTAACTATTTTGAGTTCATTAAATTAAAGGATGTAGGCTGACATTTACAAATCAGTAACCAAAAAAACCGCGTACATGGGTGGACACTGGACAGGGAATCTTAAAATTGTCTATCAAGTATCAAACACTATCAATGCAGCGAAATATAGCGGTGTCCAGTGTTGCAGTGTTGTCAATCAAAACAAACCGTGTTACAATTCACTAAAATGGGTGACGGAGTGGCCGAGGGGACTGGTTAGATACCTCGGCATCGGCAGTGGCGTATTTAGGGGGGGGGCAATTTCCCAAATTCTGAGTCTTCAAAGGTTATAACAAAAAAAATGTTTTCATTTTATTGGATTTGTTGAGAAATTATATTAGTAAAACTGATAACTAATAAACTTGTTTACAATATCTCTTACGCATGCTATACATAATATGGTAATCGGAAAAAAAATCCCCAGCTACAATATTACTGACAATCACATGCAAATAGTTGAACAAATATATTTTGAACGTTAATTAGTATCTATAATTAATATTTAATTACAAATACGTATATTATATTATATTGTTAAAAAAATTATATATTATAAATAATATTTTGTTTTAAATTACCATAATATATTATGTGTAATTCAAATTAAATAACTAACTTTACCTTATATTATATATTATCAAAGGTACGTACTAAACCGCTTATCTTCATAATATACGTATTTGTAATTAAATATTAATTATAGATACTAATTAACGTTTAAAAAATATTTGTTCAACCATTTGCATGAGGTTGTGAGTAATATTGTAGTCTGGGGATTTTATTTCCTAGGGTCGGGGATTTTTTTTCCGGCGTTGTTCGTCGGGGGATTTTTTTTCCGGGGGTTTTTTATTCCGGGATTCACATAATATACACATATAATAAATAAAGTCTAAAATCTAAAATTTTAATTTGTTTATTTGGTTATAAAAGTTGACTTTTTTATTAGGAATAATTGGAGTGGTAATGGTAAATAAAAATTTGTTCTTTAAATTAAAGGCAATAAGGGGAAAATAAAAGTTATCACTTTTACAGGGCTTGAGACTGTTTGCTAAAATTTCGGTTTCGGTTTTTATTTTGTATACCGGTTTTTATTTTTTTCGATTTTGGTTTAAATTTTTCAATACCGGTAATAGGAAATTACGGTTTGGTTTCAATTTCGTTTACCAGTTTCCAATTTTTTTCAATTTGGTTTCCCCCCCCCCGTGTAAATGACCTGTATACGCCCCTGGGTCGACCTACACAGGATATAGGTTGTGTTCTCGCCGCACTATATGTGTGCGTGAACTCTGAAATAATCTTCTGATCCCCACTTTACATATAGAGACAATTTTTTTTTATTTGGCCTCCCCTGACAATGCGATCGTGCACTTGGCCTTTGATAATTATTTAGAAATGAATCAGTACTATACGTCGGCTGAAGTGTTATTAAGTTCCCATTATTATTATTTTAAACTATATGTTGTATTTCTTTTCCATATAAAATGTACATATATATTTTATTATGATATTATCATGCGGAGCAATCAGCAATACAACAGGGAAACCCTCTCGCGGCGGGCTTCACCGACCGGCAAGATGCGGGGTAAATACAAGCGCGGATTAAAGGGGGGCCAAGGGGGCACGGTCCCGGGGCCCATTGATTTTGGGGGCCCATCTTTATCATCAAAATATATTTTTTTAACGCGTCCAATACAGTTTTCAAAAAAAAATATTTAAGTAGGTAGGTATAGTAGGTAAATTATTATTAATAATTATAAAATAAATACGTTCTCAATTTTATACCACCAAAAATTACTATAAATAATGAACTATGTTTGCCAATAATTTTGTTTTTGTTCGTTTTTTTTTTTTTTTTTTGAACATTTTAGATTACCAATTTAACTATTTAAGTATATAAAAGGTTATAAGAAAAAAATATTTAGCTTTTGTAAATTAGGTATTTCAGTTAAAAGTATTAATGCATACTAGTGATGATCAAAACAAGACCAAGACCAAGACTTTCAAAATCTTGGGCTTGGTCTTTATTTTGCAGACTCAGTATTGGTCTTGGTCTTGGTGTTGAGCAAGACTCTTGCTATTTTCACAAAATATATAAAAAATAACTAAATACCTGTTATAGCTGTGTGTAGGTTTTTTGTTATGATCTCTAAGATGAAACTTATCGATTTTGGGAAAATAAAATAATTTTTCAGTAATTGTTAATTAGTATGAACAACTATGTTATTTTGTAATATCAATTCCCATTATATTTCTAATCTTTTTTTCAATAATTCGCCATTTCCTGGAACACTGGTCAAATTTCATAACAATACAAATAAATTCTTTTTATTTGTATAAAATAAATTGCCTGTTAAAAATAAAGAAACGATTGTCTTTTTTTGTTTTAACGAAATTCCATATCATCGATCCATACCTAATTGTGAAAAAAAACAGCATACAATGACATAAGATACACCCTTTATATTTTTTTATTTTTGTATAGTAAAAAATTATACAATAATATAAAGTCGTTAATATGTAATGATACAATTGTTTGAAGTTAAAGTTGAAAGGGGGCCCACTAAGTGTGGGTGTCCCGGGGCCCAATTGATCCTTAATCCGGGCTTGGGTTAGGTTAAAAAAATTGCTAACGATTTATTGCTATTATCTAAATTACTATGTAAAAATTGAGTAACTGTCTAAAGAGCATTCTCAGTACCTAAACCCGGTCTGAAGCCATACTGGTTTTTTGATAGTAATTTTTTTCTAAAAATTCTATCAGTCCAGCTTTGATAATTTTTTCAAATATTTTAGAAAATATTGCTCAACTTAGATATTGGCCTATAGTTGTTCATACTCGATTTATCACCACTTTTAAATAAAGTTTTAACATCCGCCATTTTTAAGGCATCAGGAAAAATACTATACAAAATACTTAAATTATATATATAGACAAGAGGATCCACTACAAATTTACTAATACGTTTTAAGATTTTGACTGATACTTTATCCAATCCTGCAGCTGTAGCTTCTTTAAAACTATTAATTATACCAAGTACGTCTGAAGATTCAATTTTTTTAAGAAACACCTCATTAAAAGAAAAGTTTGTATGTAGACGACTTATCTTTGGTATGATAGTTTCATTTAAATTATTCTGAGCGATATTTATAAAAAAATTATTTAACATATTAGATGCTGTTATCGGATCATTTTTTACATTTATTTCACAATCATTATTTTTTAGTTTGACAATGTCATTATTAGATCTTACTTTAGAACCGGTAACTTCATTTATTAATTTCCATATCAATTTTGGATTAGAACTTACATTCCTGAATTTTTGCTCATAAAATTTAAACATAGCTAGCCTGACAGTTTTAGTGAAATTATTTTTGTATTTTTTATAATGCAAAGCTAACGATAAATTATTAGGATGTTCTTTGACTTTTATTGAGAGAAATTGTTTGTGGCGGGCTGAAATTAATAATCCATTAGTCATCCATTATTTTAAGCGTTTATTTTTGGATTTCAATAATATATGAGTTGTGGATTTATCAATTGCTTTTTTTAGCAGAGAAAACATTGAAAATAATCAAAAATGTTCAAAATCAACAAGTGATGTTTTTTTTTATGTTAAAAGTTTTGTTTTAATTTTACTCTTTTACTTTTTTATTACACCAAAAACACTTCGTTATAACTCCTTGTAAAAAAAAATCTAAGTTAAAAAAAAAAAATTGTTATGATTAAATCTTTAAAAGACGTGATATAATATGGAAATTAAGTAAAATAACATTTTATAATATTACAAATACCTTTGATGACAAATAAGATCAATTGTAATGTTAAATACTTAGTCAACATATTGTTGATACATTGTTAATTACTGTAAATACTGTAGTGATTACTTAGTTATATTTATTTAAGTATACTTCTAAGCCTTGCGAAATAGTTAAACATAATATGTTGACTAAGTACCTATTTAACATTATAATTGATCTTATTTGTCATCATAGGTATTGTAGTAAGCCAGCTACTACGGAGTAATACCAATTTCATAAGTACATAGTTATTATTATAATATACGATGAATCGGGATTCGGAATTAGGCGTAGTAACATTTGACAGTAACAAATTCCACAGGTGCAAAGTTATGATACTATATAGGTGGACCGGCATAACCGGGAGATTAGGGAACATAAAAGACACGAGGGTTAAAAAATAATCGGATGAAATATTTTACAGAAAAACTGAATACGACGAAATCAAAATATAAAAGAGTAAAAAAGATTATTTTATAATAATCATAATGTAGAAATACACGCAGCCGTAAATGCGTAGGCCGGATAAATGTCCACAACAAATCACATCCGTGAGAACCGAGATATCGTATATGTAGGCAAGGGGTACGGGGACCTCATATATAAGGGAGCCCGAATCGACCTGTATTCAGACGTGTACTACCACCCATTAGTGCAAGCACCTTCACGCCACTCTGTAGAATATTATTTGGACTTAGAAAAATTATCGAACATTATAATAAAAAATTCACAATATATTACATCTGTCTTATCATTCATTGTCTACCACGACTACAACATCAAATAAAGTGTCTGCGACCTGCAATTATAATAACTTGGTTGCCACTTATCTACTGTCAGTACTACGATAGTAGGTACCAAGCTTCCAGGCTTATTACAGTATTTGTAATATTATAAAATGTCATTTTACTTAATTTCCATATTAAATCACGTCTTTTAATGATTTAATCATAACAACATTTTTTTTTTTTTAACTTAGCTTTTTTTACAAGGAGTTATAATGAAGTGTTTTTGGTGTGATATCAGCTATTTTTTTTATGAAATAAGTCGCGATTTTATTTGACTGTATATAATAATAATAATCCATAATAGCATATGCATCGTTGGCCTCCTGTTGTTATAATATCTCTTTTTCTATTTTAGTTTTTTTTTCTTAAACTATAACATAAATATGATATCGTTATACATCCAACCCATATTTTTTTATTATGTTTAATAACTGATGTATAATGGACTTGAGACTTGAGTCATAGATGGACCATGATGGCAAATCACAGAATTAAGAGCATATGATTTGCCACCGACCTTAATTGTTGCCACGGGTAATGAATTAATCACCAGATTGCTTATTTTATTTTATTATTGTTCCGAGTTTTCAGCATAATAATATAATACCGTCGCGCTGGATCACGAATTCACTAAACAATCACAGTCGTTGAGTCGTCAGCAAGTACCTATTGGCTATTTGGCTCTTAATCTATCTTGCTGGTCGTCACTCGTCTGCTGAAACAGTATAATGTAAATGTAAACAGACAACAGTAAATGGTTGCCGGCGACCGGCATCCTAGAGACCGCGCCGTCGCAATCGCCAATCGTCGTACGTCGTCGTCGTAGTACGCCACCTCCGCCGCGATGAGAGAAAAGGGAATGGATAAGCGGCGGGATATTTACGATATTTTCGTTCCCCGACCCACCGCTTATCCATCCACACTGTTCCGTACGCAAAATCGGTCTTAAAAGAACTTGAACATTTTTGCTTATAACTTATAAACTATCTAACCAATCTGCTAGCGAATTCCTCTGTTCCCATCTGCACAATATTTATGATCGATAGATACATCATACGAGTATACGACTTTATATGTTCAGCCGTTTTCCCTGTAGAGCTTGGCAAAGAATTGACATGAATTAGGACGATTTTTCAATGTTAAAACTCGGTGTCCTGTTATTATACGTTAGTGGCTACTCCGCTATTTTTTTTTACTTAGCTTCGCGCCACTACCGTCGCGCTGGATGTTCAAACAACTAGTATTAATTATTAGGATATATTCAGATTTTATTTAAAAAGTATAAATTGCAAAATTATACAACAATTTTAAATGTAAGTTAAACAATAGAAAAAATTCAACTTAAAATAAAAATCCAATGAAAAATATATTTAAATTACAATTATCATTTATCATGTTTGTTATCTCATGAAGTTTAGTAATTATATAAGTATAATAAATATTACAATATCAGTTATACATTTTAATAATAATCAATTTGTAAAAAAATTAATAGTGACAGTTTTATAAAATGTATAAATCAAAGAATAATATATAAATAGTATAAAATTATATATAATACAAGCAAAAATATGATCGCCATCCATACTGTTGTCATTATTGACCTTTCAATTATCAGAGACATTTTATGTAACCAAAATAAAATTGTATAAGATGGAATTTATTCAATAGTTAATATTATTTCAAGATATAACTATAACATATTTAAGTTTCTATATTTTACACTATATAATATTTATTAGAATAAACTAAATTAAATGAAGTTGATTTTAAAAAATAATTCTTAACTTACAGGAAGATTATGTCTATTAATTGCAGGATTATACCAAAAATTATTTTAAGAGTATGTTACTATAAAAAGTGATATGCATACTAATATACTAAATAGTAGTAGTAGAAACTTCTTATTACCCTAGCACAAAATAATTATGGCTATGAAGAGTTTCTACTGTTTGAATCGAGGTGGTTATTATTTTGTTTTAAAATAATTTTTACATTTTCTTTCGATCATTTGTTGGTGATTCCAGTTGTAACATCGCTTTTCTCAATTTTTTAAGAAGTTTAATATCTGGATTTCTATACGGTCTAGTTTTAGGTTTATGTTCGTTTGGTTTGTTCTCATTGTATTCATAATGTTGATGGCTATACAATCTTAATAAAGATCCAAAGTAATGGACATGTGGGTGCAATACCTATAATTACACAAAAATTAATAGGAAAAAACAGTAAAATATATTTGTATAGTATTTATATGTAAACCTTTAATAGAGCTTGAGCCCCTTTTTGGCGACCTTCAAGTTTATCTTTACAAATAACTGTTGCAGAATATTTTTCTACAGCCATAGTACAGCGATAATAATTGTCTGTATCAGATCCACTTTGCATCTGTTCCATTTCACACAGTAGATTTGAACCTTCACCAAAATTTCTATAAAAAAAAATGGTCTTTGAAAATGTTAAAGCAATACCTAACCAATTTTTATTATGAGTATTTTAAGTTAAATTTACAATAATATTTTGTTAGTTCACTAGCAGTTTATTTTAAATATATACCTAATACATAAAGTAACAAATAATAATATAATCAGTGAATAGATAGGTTTAAGTATAATATAGGTATGTAACTTTCAACTTTGTGAACATTTATAGTCAAAATAATTCACAAAAAAAAAATATTAGAAATATATAACAATGAAAGCAAAACTTAAACATCTGACATTCACATAGAATTTAATGATTATCCAGTCAAAAGACTATTTAGATAATAGTTCAAATCATCTTGACACATTCAGAAAACAGATTAATATTTACATGAATAGTTAAAACGGTGCATTAATCTATTTATAGTGGCATTTTGTCCATAGTTCAAATTCTAAAGTGGCACAAACAAGTATTCAACAGTCTAGTTCTTTGATTTGAAACATTTAAGTTTAATAAAGAAAGCAATTTTTGACAATTACTATCCCCATTGGTTAATTTAAAAATAAAGCATACATCTAATCTTTTTATTTCCAAGAGTTTCTACTTTTAAGTATGATAATATCGGTCGATATAATGATTGAGGGAAATGTTTGATACCACATCTAAGTTGTACAATTTGTAAAAAAACGGTTTTGAATTGAAACAATAGATTTTATATAACATCAACTGATTTTGAGGAAAAAACTGTACATATATATATAATATATATACATATATAACTATCCATAGCCGAGTTATGATCTAATAAACAGTATAGTGATTTTAACACTAAAGGATTGTTAAAGTCTTTACAGCTACGAAATATGAAGTCTAACATTGGATATGAATATAATGATCATTAAATGAGAGACAAGTCACAACAAATTCCCAAAGCCTTATAAAGAAAAACTTGTTCCAGTATATATTAAATATATATTATATTTGCATATTTAACAGGGCCATCCCAATTGATATTTAAATAATAATTAGGTGAAATTGGAATGGAAGTTTTAGAAGTCATAATTTTATGACATTAAATTTAATGTTTAAGAATAAATTATTTAGACTACGCCAGTTACTAAGACAATTTAGGTAATCTTGAAATAACAAATTATCTCTTGAATATGTAATAATACGATGCATTTTTATGTCATCTGCATGACCGCATAAAGTAACATATTATGTATTAGAGTAATAGTGTTGTAAATTTAATATCATTAATAAACAAATTAAATAATAATTTAGCTAAATGTGTAATAGTTCAGTAGATTTCTTGAAACTTTTAGGGTGTTTACAAATTATTTGTTCAACCCCTTCATTTAGCTAAAAGGTAACTCAAAATTAATTTTTTTCAGCTCACTTTTTTTGTATATTTAAATGGTTGATAGTAGTATTTTAATTATGATTGGTAGACATATGGCATATACATTTTTTTACAAATATATTTACCAAAAAACAAATCTTTGGAACAGGCAATGCCAGGCGGGACAGTTACTCTTTTTATATATTTAAATGTGAAACAATTTTTTTAGCAACGGCTAATCTCAGAAACTACCAAATAAATTTGAATGGGTTATTTTCAGTTTAAAGAAAACACAACGGATCAAGTTTTAAGCATAATTATATGGACTAATCTCCTGTGCAAGAAATATTGAGAGATAAAATGGGAATACAATAGTTTTAAATAAATAAATAAATCATCATACTTTTTTACACAAAGCTTTAACATTTCATATGGTGTAGATTCGGTGGATTGAGCACAGATTTGTGGTATTCTTGTATCTTTTACGGTTAATTTGTCAAAAATCTGAAACATAACATGTAAGAATAAATTGAATAATTGTAATATCTGTTATGATATACTTTTTACAAATACTTACTTCATATTGTTCAAAATTATTATTCTCTTGAATTTCATTCTTAGTTTGACTAGAACTATCAGTTTGGAAATGTTTGACGGTAGGTAATAATATTTGAAGAGTAGCTCTCGCAGCATCAACTTTTGCTTGTTTTTTGGTCGGGCCTGTACCAACACCATATTGTATTCCATCTAAGACTACTGTACATAAATAAGGATACTTGGATTGTTCTAAACAAATAATTATATACAGTTAATTTTATACATGTAAATTATTTGTTATTTCATACTAACCAAGTTCTTTAACCACAAATGTATGAGATGCAGTTTTCAATACACTTTGAATGTATTCATGCAATATACCAACGTAACTTTTACCTTCTAAATTAATGACATATTGCGTGTCTTCAGGATTAAGTGCATTACCCTCTTTTTTGACTAAAATGTTAAATATATTAAATTAGCATAGCTGGAAAAATGACGCATCAATATAAATGGGTAAAAACTATTATACTTAGCCAAATAGAAAATAAAGTAATAGTTATAGTAGTAATCAGTGGTGAAGTGGAGGGTACAAGCGGGTACACGGAGTGTACCCACCTCATAATTTTATATTTATGCAAGTATCCTTAACGAAAATCGAGGTACGTTTTAATATAGGGAGTTTAAATATAAATCGTACTTTATGAGGTATTATTGTATATCATATAGACAACTTACAAATAGACACTATAGTGGATATTTGTTTAATACGCTATCTACCATAATTCTATATGCTATCTACAAATGAAAATAGTCGCTTATTTCAGCAAACGTGTGGTAGTTGCTGGTAGAGTACTAAATAAGGGGGGATGTGGGCGGCATAAATTAAGGCATGTACAAATAAAAATGTTTAGGACTACATCACTGGTAGTAATTATTATTTTTTCTTACCAATAGAATATAAAGTAGTTGAATCTGATATTGATTTGTGAAGATCTTTTATCTTTGAATCTGTTTTTTGTTTTCGTAGATATTCTCGGCGCTTTACCCACGACCTAAACAAGAACAACTATAGTAAAACACATTTAAATAAAAGTTCTAATAAAATTAATATTTTAATAATAAATATTTACTTAAATTTATAAAATTTAATATTCCTAAATTTGAATATTTTGCTACAGTAATTTCGATACTCTGCATGGCTCAACGTTAAAGGACATTCTGAAAAATAATTTGAAATTCATATACAACCATTATTGACACTTATAAATTATAATACAATAAAAATATTGTAAAATATTATATAGATATTACTTTTTGAAAAAGAGGTTGAAGAAGAAGTTGAAGCAAAATTGGTGTCAATCTGAGTTTCATTATTTAATTTCTGATTCAAACAAGGTACATTGGCTACTGGAATTTCATGGTTCTAAATATTAAGGTGAAACATTAAAAAAAGTTTAATGCGATAAAAATAATTTTAACGTTACATTTTTAATGAGCACTTACTTTAAGACTGTTAGTTCCTAGAAAATATGGCTTTGAAAATGAACATACTCTTGTTTCTGTATTCATATAAATTGGCATACCGCTGTCGTGATCTATTTTTTCCCATCCTTTTGGTAAATCATTATTGCTACAACTTTTTTCATCTAACGAATATAAAGCATATATTTTGGGTTAATACCTATATGAAAAGCCAGTTTATTGAAATAAAATTTACCATAGGGACGAGTTACTGCTTCTTCTTTGTATTCTTGTTTCAGAATGGTTTCAGAATATTCAGTCTAAACATGAGTAACAATTTATAACTAGTAGGTCATTAAATATTTATATACAATAACTAATAAGTAATAAAAGCATTAAAAATCATTAAGTAATAACTATTACCACTTCTACTTACCACAGCAGTAAAAAGTTATAATGATGAATTAAAATTTGTATGCAAAAATTAAGTACTTAAAATAGAATATCGGTTAAAATATATTTTCAGTCAATTATCAGTAATTCTATAAAAATCAATAGAACAAGCAATTTTATCAGGTACCTATAGTATTATTAAAGAAAATTTTGGTTTAATTACAGCAATAAATGAAATTAATTTAGTACATAATAAGAAAACCCATACCTGAGGATAATATGCACTTTGAAAACAAATTATTTTAAATTTTGAATATTAAAGATGAGCTAACAGGGATTTATTGCCAATCAAAAATGTGTTCCAAATGACCCGGTAATAAGGTGAATATTAACAATGGTTAAAAATTATTAATATTCCTTTTATAAATTAATAAGGGTGAATAGGAACTTAATTTATATTTTTATAAAAAGCTTATGAACATTATACAATATATTTAGTGTAATAATAAAATAAAAAACAAATATAATATAGTTAATCCTATGGCAAATCAATTTTGTTTTTAATTTGGTCTTTAAAAGGTCTTCTAATAAGAGGGTAAGATATAAAAAATTAATTATAGAAAAAATTGCAGTAAAATCACACCAAAAATAATGTGTTCCTATTCGTCCCGTATCATACAAAAGACCTGAAAAATGAGTTATCAAGTTTTTGATGACAATAAGTACCGATAAAAATCATTTTTAGTTGTTTTGAAATTTGTAGACCTGTATTTTTATATCGCTACTATAAATGCTTTGAGTATATTTATGAGAATCATGATAAAGTAGGTACTATATGAAAACGTTCTTGAAACACAAAAAAAAACATTTTGTCAAATGCATGACAATGCGTAATTATAGGAAATTCCAAGGGGGATATAATATGGGAGATACAATAAACCTTATCAACAACAATTAACGAGTACTAGAGAGTCTAGAATAATGGCTCTCTAACGAGTACTATCAAAGTGATCCAATCGACATTTGTGACAAACTAAAATTGTTACAATCACAAAAAGTTGAGAACTCAAGTTAGGTATTATTATAGTGAGTACAATTTTTTTTTAAACTTGTTCCTATTCACCCTATTATCCTTATTGCTTATTACGTTACATCAAAGTACCTTTAAAACAATAAACAAAATATGCAGATAGTTTATATAGAGATCTGAGACAATGTCTAAAGTGTCCCTCACTGTTGAATTATAAATGCAGCCTTGGCTAGCTTGTACCAATATCCGATATTATATAATGTAACGTAATGTCGGCTTATTAGTTTTTACTATCAATAACAACATTAAAAAACGATAAATTAACTAACATTAAACATTGGTATAAATAAGCCACCCCGTACCTCGTCGAGCAAACATATTCATCAATAATACCCACTCCGTCAGAGTCCTGCCCCGAAATCAATAACACGCGCAAGAGTGCTACCTATTATTCGATCTAGTCGGCCTACACTATGGTGCCACCCTATTTTGTTTAGCCCTACGAGTGTTATTGAAGTATATACCATTGGCTGCTGCTGCATATCGTATTCATCATCCATGTTCGAATCGGATCCGGGGGTGAATTTCTTGCTCAATTTGGCAGTCTCGTTCATGATGATGGTGTGGGCGTGGTCGTCGAGGCCAGGCGTTAATAGGGATGATATACCGGGATAGTATATTACGATACCAAGGTCTTCCAGACGGCAAACAGCAACAGACTGTCGTCCGTCAGACTCAATCAGCTCGTCCGTGACGCACACACCACTAACGAAGAGAACAGTGCAGCCAACGTACAAGACGAAATATTATTTTTTAATACGGTATTCTTGCCCTTCATATGCACCCCCTGACAAAAACACAAGCACAAGTACACATCTTACTGATCGGCGGAGGGCGGTCTGTCGAGTGTCGACGAGGTCCGTTGAACTCCGTTCTCTCATATCCACTCTCGCCGAGGTCTGTTTCATGCTAGACTGCGCACTGTTACATTGCGGGGGTGTCGTCCTCATCACCATACACTCAACCAGGGGTACGAAACTCCGTGCGTGGTCCGAACCAGGCGATTGCGGCCTTGAACACGGTCTTCAGGAGGGCGTGGCATACGTGAAAACCCCGCGTCCCGTATCCCGCCATAGTCTTGGAACCAATTTTATAATATACGGGTCTAACATCATGTTGGTGCGGGAACCAATTCCCTGTTTTTCGTAGGTTCAGACTTCAGATCATAGGGAACCAATACCCCAATCAGCTGATCGAGTTTCGCTTCTATACTGTTCTATGACTCAACTAGACCTCTAAATCCTGTTGTGCTATAATTTGTAAATGTCTCTCAGAATAGTGGGGGGCTTTGCCCCACACCCCCTACTACAAAAGTTATATAATCGTATAAGTTTTAATTCTACAGTACCTAATCAATACTTGAAGTTGGGACCCAACGACTAACATTTTATATAGAAAAACTCAAAAATTGAAAATTGAAAATGTCCGTTAACAACTCAAAATAAGTTAAAATATTTTGAAAATTTTATCAAGTATAGAAAAATGATAATAATATTATATAAATGAATAATCATTTGATGTAAATTTTAAGTATCTACAATAAATTATTCATTTTTTAATTACAACAAAATATAATAATCATTTGATGAGAAATAGAGTGATTATCTAATGTCGTAAAAATTTGACCTTCAAACGTAAGTAAAAAATTAATACGACTTTCCAGCAGAATCCAATTTTTTTCATAACTAGCGGGTAAGGTTTTCCGCAGGGGTTAGTGTCCACTAAAGCTCATAAATCTTTCTACCCTTGTTTTTTTAATTTTATGATCTCCCGTCTTTCCTTGCTGCCGAGTAATTAGCCTTAGCAGCCAGAGCACCCTCTGGTAGGTCCTGCGTAGGAAGAGGTGGGTTGACCTGAGGTCGGTGATGTGATCACTCCACCAGTACATGGACTTTTTTCCACTCAGAGCCGTGGACCTTAGGGGAATCGAAGCGTCGCATGAGTCAGAAATGTATTTGTCAAGGGACTCTGTAGCCGAGAGTGTAATGTTGTCCCCGTCGCCACCCCTCGTCAAGACCAGACCGCTTGACCTTCTTTAGCGCCCACCCTATAACAGATAACTCATATAAAATGATAAGTTTGATCTCTCAATATATTTTCTAGAGTGGCAACTGCCACCTCGTGACCCCACCACCACCAAATGCTGCCTATGTTAGTATATCTATAACAGAGATGGCAAATAAAATATTTTCAACGTACTTTTTTATAAAACAACAATTCAAAAAAAATTTCAATCGTGCCTCTAATTATATTTGTTGACACAGAAAATGTTTACAAAATATAAATGAAAAATGAATGATAATAATGTAAAAAATAATTAGGTATAAAAAAAAACAAATTTTACTGATTGTTAGAACGTTTAACTTCATATATTACTTGAAAGATTTTTCTATGTCTGGTTAATAAGAGCTGTTGCTTTCAAGCTATATGAATATAATATAAATAGGCACATAAAAGTCTTTCGGGTGCCATTGAAATATTCTTCCGTGCCAAATATGGAACTCGTGCCACTTCTTTGCCATCACTAAACTATAACCTACTAACCTACATTTTTTTCCTATAAAAGGGAGAACATAATTTTTTTACGCTTTTTGACACAAAAAAGAAAATTTTGTTGACATTTATAGAAAAAAAATTTTTTAAAAAACTAAAAAAAAAAGCGGGTAAGTGGATGTAGCTCTGCTGTAGGCACTAGGTTACAAGTGGGTCGTTGTATAATGGATTGTATTAAACTTGAATTCAATGATATAATATCATTGTATAAGATAAACGATTCTGAGAGGAGACGGTTTGTCAGTCTGGATATTTTATATTGTTATTATTTATTATATCATGTAAGTTGAATTAATATTATAATATTATTATTTCTTATTCGTTTCTATTGTGATAAACAAAGCGTTAGAAATTAAAATCCCATTATTAGCTGTTTTTTGTAATTTGTCTGTGGTTTTTCCTGTGGCATTAAATAACCATTGATGAAATCGAAAAATGACCTTTTAAAGTACCATCTTGATCCAATTTGCTAAAAGATAAGGTACTATATTTAGAAATCGAAGCACTCCTTCTGGTAGAAATTTTGTATACAGGATAAAAAAAAATTAAATTAAATTAACACCATTGTAAAACCACTAGCTTCCTCGCTCCGCTCAGAATCTAAAAATTGGAACCAAACTGAAAATGTCCGTATACAACCCAAAACAAGTTACAACATTTTTAAAATTGCATGGTGTATAGAAATTGCTTATATGAACATTCAGTTTAAATTTCATGTGTATACGAAAATTTATGTTAGAGTTACACCAAAAACTAAAATCGATTTTGCCAATTACTGATTTTCCATACAAATTTCAGTTTTTCCTAAATCTTTTTTTGTTTTTCCCAACGATTTTGAAAACTACTGATTATTTTAAATATTGGCCTCCTTAATGTGCCAACTTGATTCTCTTTCCTATCAGAAAAAATGCTGTTGAAAAAAATCGAAATATACTTTTAACTATTTATCGAGTACACAGACACATCATTGTAAAATTAATACATTCATCATACTCAGAATCTAAAACTAAATTATAACAGAATTTTTGTCAATATTAATTTTGCATTTATATGATTTATGGTTCCATTCAGTGCCACTCTAACCACCAATAACCCCCAATGGCAACAATATTTGACGCCCCTCTCCCTCCCACAAAAAATATTGATTTCACATTTTTATAATAATTAACCACATACTATAAATATGTTTAATACTTACTAGGTAATCAAAGGCTCCTACTTATTTTTTTATTATTTCTGTTGGAATCATATTTATTTTGTTTCTGTGGTTATATCGAAGTTGACACCGATTTAATTATTCTGGGTACATTACAGTATTTTCACAAATTAGTAGATTTTATTATAAATCATACGTTCTGCGTTTCTACGTGGCGTGTATAACAGTAAACATTGTAAATTGTACCTACAAGTGAATATAATATACAGAATTTAGTCAAACTACACTAACTCGATTTATTTTAAGAAGTGGGTAAAATTGATAATGAGTTGGTTATAAGTTTATAACATAAAATATCTTTGCGTATAATAATTACAGTAGCACAACTACCCGCTGGGGGGGGGGGGTTGTTGATCACTGAAGCTCATAGACTACAGGGGCCCCAGACCACAGCCCAACTAATAATTTACTATTTTCGTATATGATAACAAATATAAAAACCACATTATTTTAATGTATTTATGTATGAATCAAATTTCACTGTCAGTATAGATATTTGATGTGTTATTGAAATATTATTCTATAAATATAAAATAATGATGACATTTCTCCATATTTTACCAGGCAACTTAAAGGAGGATTATCAAGCACAACAATTAAGGACCTCACTTTGTTTATAATTAAAAATGGTTTCTGTAATCCATACTGCGAATTGCGATGTTCTTAAATTTGTTGATTACAAAACCAGAAAAAAAAATGTTTGATACTACCAAAGATATGAATTAGTAAAATTAGTTTAGTTTATATGTATATTACTTAATTATTTTAATGATGTGTATTGTGTTTACATATTTAAAATAAATTGCATGTAAATAAATTACTATTGTAGTCTTATAACTTATAAATATAAATATTTTTATTTGTTTTTATGAATATTGAATATATTACCAATATATATTATATATTATTGAAGGCATTAAGATTTAACACATTGTATTTACATAATTTAATATTTAATAGTATACAATTTGATATTTATACAATATTAAAGTATAAAAAGAAAAATAATACCTATAATAAAAACACCAATTTTTTCTTTTTATCATTCATTTTTATTACGCCCCCTAAATTCATAATATTTTAGACGCCATAGGGCCATCTCCAATTTGCCCCCCTCCCACCATAGGACAGCTGTGCTTCCATTATGAGTTTATGATGTATTTTTTTGGCAGAGCATATGCGACAACATGTATGCTGGTTGTTACTTGAGGGGAAATACTGACTGTACTGAGAACTATTGTACTCGTACTAACTGCCATGTTACTATAACTATTATGTACTAACCATTGGATGTGTCCAAAAATTATTAGTTAGACTAGTCCATGAACATATAATAAGACTAGTCAGAGTATGGTAGAGTAAAATTTACTCGAAATTATCAAATGTAGGTACTTCAAAACCGATTACTCCGAACGACGTATTCTTATCAATATATTTGTATTGATAATGATAAAGAAAATGTAAAGAAAATTAGCACTGATGATCATTATTTGATTGTAATTAGAAAAGGTATAATGATTAATAAGGTTTAATTGGTAGGTATAGACGCATATGAAGTTAAACAAAAATAAAGTTTAAAGTAATATAAAGGGGTCGCTGTAAATTGCGTCGTGTTTCAAATTTTTTATGTAAATTGCGGCCCGGGTATATTATATACATACGTAAATTGCGGCCAATTATATTGGTAGGTATATTTTAATATATTTGCCTACTTAAATATTTGTCATTGTTATGTAATTACAAAATCAATATTTTCCTTCCCATTTTTCAGACTTAGGACTGGCA